ACGTGTCAGAAAGGTCTCGACAAACAATTACACACCAACCAGTCTCACTAAAATCAGTTGTATAATTATAGAAAAAAATAATTGGGCGAACGTTGATGTACTTCTTAGAGCAGCATAATCTACCATCCGAGACGCAGCACGGATTCTCTAGAGGCAGGTCCTGCGGGAGGAACTTGCTTTCTCGTCTGGAATGTTGGACCCAAGCAATTGATGGCTAAAATCCACTTCATATAGTCTATATTGACTCGAGGAAAGCATTTAATCCTGTTTGACTTCAACGACCCCTACACAAATTCAGACGTATGGAGGTTAGAGGAGATACCCTCAAATTGACTCGAAGCTTCCTATTTTGCCGCTCTCAAACCGTCCATGTCGGTAACCGACAGTCTGTGGAAGTTGCGGTTGAGAGTGGTGTTCTCCAAGGCTACGGTCTTGGCCGTACATTGTGTATTATGCACGTTAAAGACTGCTTCCGCGAACTGGGTTGTGATTTCGCTATGTTTGCTGATATTACTTAGCTTTTGAGCGTCATGGGAACTGCAGCTGACGGGGAGCATTTGAATGCAAACCTAAATCGACTTTAACAATGGGCGAAGGAGTGGCTTTCGCTGTTTAATAAGAACAAATGCAGTATCCTACTCGTTGGTCGACCGACTTCTCAGAATCCCATTGTTCACTGCCTGAATGGCATCCAACAGCAAGAAGTGGACGCGCAGGAGAACTTGGAAATATGGATCACTACCTCGCTTAAACCTTTGCTGTACTATTATAAAATATCCGATGTCCGTTCGATACCTTGTCAAACGGGTTTTCTCTGTCTTTGGCGAAGACTGCTCCGCGAAAGCCTTTGGAACGGTAGTGCGGCCAAAACTGGAATTTGCTATCGAAGCCTGGAGACCCTAAACCACGAACCACCTCCATATCCTTGAAGAGGTTCAAAGGCGTGCAACAAAACCTTTACTAGACAGAGCTCATTACCCTACGAACCACGTTTGTTTTATCTATTTCCTTTGAGTTACAGACAATTGCGTAGACCTGATACATGCGCGGTCAGGACTGCTGCCTTCTACCTAGTACCTTCTTCGAGTTTCCACTCGTAAAATATTTTCTCTTGCTTGGTCCAGTATTTCTTATACAGATAGCTGTCAGTTAGTAAATATTAAATTTCTTGGGGTAAGAAGACTCGAAGCTGGTATATGCTTCCTGTTTCGCGTTAACAATAG